CACCTGTAATCCCAGCACGTTGGGAGGCTGAGGCAGGTGGATCACAAGGTCAAGAGATCAAGACCATCCTGGTCAACATGGTGAAACCCCGTCTCTACTAAAAATACAAAAATTAGCTGGGCATGGTGGCACACACCTGTAGTCCCAGCTACTCAGGAGGCTGAGGCAGGAGAATTGCTTGAACCCAGGAGGCGGAAGCTGCGGTGAGCCGAGGTTGCGCCATTGCACTCCAGCCTGGGTAACAAGAGCGGAATTCTGTCTCAAAAAAAAAAAAAAATAGAGGTTGGGGGTGGGAGGGTTAAAGTCACACTAAAAGACAAAAACATGGAATTATATGATTTAAACAATCAGTGGAGATTATTCCTGTGTTTGTGTTTTATTTGCAAATCCTACCTACTATCTACCAAAGAGTGTTGTCTCCTGGATTTGCTATCAGATAGGCTCATTCTTGAGAAAAATGGAGAGTGAGGAAGAAGGGGAGGCAGTCCAAGATGGCCTGCCTGCAGCGGATGCTCTGAAAAACAGTTGCTCTAGCTAAGGAAAGATAGAATGAAATGCATATCTCCCAGAAAGAGCAAGAATCTAGTGACTCCTTGTTCTTTCCTCCACAATTCAGGTCTATCTGGGCCTAGAAGTAGTCCTTTTACATACATGGGAAGATAGAGGAGTTAGGGGAGAATGAAAAACAGATGGCGCATTGGGATTCCTTGCATCCAATACAGGAGCACCCAGATTCATAAAGCAAGTTCTTAGAGACCTACAAAGAGACTTAGATTCCCACACAATGATAGCAGGAGAACACCCCACTGTCAATATTAGACAGATCAATGAGACAGAAAAGTAACAAGGATATTCAAGACTTGAACTCAGCTCTGGACCAAGCAGACCCAGTAGACATCTACAGAACTCTCCACCATAAATCAACAGAATATACATTCTCCCCAGCATCACATCACACTTATTCAACAATTGACCACATAATTGGAAGTAAAACACTCCTCAGCAAATGCACAAGAACAGAAATCATGACAAACAGTCTCTCAGACTACAATTCAATCAAATTAGAACTCAGGATTAAGAAACTCACTCAAAAACCCCACAACTACATTGAAACTGAGCAATCTGCTCCTGAGTGACTACTGGGTAAATAACACAATTAAGGCAGAAATAAATAAGTTCTTTGAAACCAATGAGAACAAAGACACAACGTACCAGAATCTCTGGGACACAGCCAAAGCAGTGTTTAGAGGGAAATTTATTGCACTAAATGCCCACAGGAGAAAGTGGAAAAGATCTAAAATCAATACTCTAACATTACAATTAAAAGAACTAGAGAAGCAAGAGCAAACAAATTCAAAAGCTGGCAGAAGACAAGAAATAACTAAGATCAGAGTAGAACTGAAGGAGATAGAGACACGAAAACCCTTCAAAAAAATCAATGAATCCAGGAACTGGTTTTTTGAAAAGTAACAAAACAGATAAAATTCTAGCCAGACTAATAAAGAAGAAACGAGAGAAGAACCAAATAGACACAATGAAAAAGGATAAAGAGGATATCACCACTGATCCCACAGAAATATAAACTACCATCAGAGAATACCATAAACACCTCTATGCAAATAAGCTAGAAAATCTAGAAGAAATGGATAAATTCCTGGATGCATACACCTTAACCAGGAAGAAGTCAAATCCCTGAATAGACCAATAACACGTTCTAAAATTAAGATAGTAATTCATAGCCTACCAACCTAAAAAAGCCCAGGACCAGATGGATTCACAGTCGAATTCTACCAGAGGTACAAAGAGGAGCTGGTACCATTCCTTCTGAAACCATTCCAAATAATGGAAGAAGAGGGACTCCTCCCTAACTCATTTTATGAGGCCAGCATCATCCTGATACCAAAACCTGGCAGAGACAGAAGCGAAAAAGAAAATTTCAGGCCAATATCCCTGATGAACATCAATGCGAAAATCCCCGATAAAACACCGGCCAACAAAATCCAGCAGCACATCAGAAAACTTACCTACCATGATTAAGCTGGCTTCATCCCTGGGATGCAAGGCTGGTTCAGAATATGCAAATCAATAAACGTAATGTATTACATAAACAAAACCAATGACAAAAACCACATGATTATCTCAACAGATGCAGAAAAGGTCTTTGATAAAATTCAACACCCATTCATGCTAAAAATTCTCAATAAACTAGGTATTGATGGAACGTATCTCAAAATAATAAGAGCTATTTATGACAAACCCACAGCCAATATCATACTGAATGGGCAAAAGCTGGAAGTATTCCCTTTGAAAACCAGCACAAGAAAAAGATGCACTCTCTCACCACTCCTATTCAACACAGTATTGGAAGTTCTGGCCAGGGCAATCAGGCAAGAGAAAGAAATAAAAGGCATTCAAATAGGAAGAGAGGAAGTCAAACTGTGTCTGTTTGCAGATGACATGATTGTATACTTATAAAACCCCATTGTCTCATCCCAAAATCTCCTTAAGTTGATAAGCAACTTCAGCAAGTCTCAGGATACAAAATCAATGTGCAAAAATAAGAAGCATTCCTATAAACCAATAATAGACAGCCAAATCATGAGTGAACTCCCATTCACAATTGCTACAAAGAGAATAAAATACCTAGGAATACAACTTACAAGGGGCATGAAGGACTTCTAAGAAAACTACCAACCACTGCTCAAGGAAATAAGAGAGGACACAAACAAATAGAAAAGCATTCCATGCTCATGGATTTACAAACAAGAAAGTAATGAACGGATAGGGTCTTAATTTCAGAAAGGCTCTCATTTTTAAAAGCATGATGTAGAACAGCCACAGGTGTGGTTTTATACTTTTTCTTAGCTTTAGTTTAGATGTCGTGGTGGCCACAGAAAAGTCAGATCACAGCAGTTCCCTGATAGTTGAAGTCTGGAATGCCACCCTCCGCTTCGGAAGGCCTTTCACCTACCCTTCCGGCAGCCCCTCTGCAGCTCTCCGGAGCCCATTCTAGGAAAACAGCTATAAAATCAGCACAAGGGTAAAGAGGACACCATGGATACTGCACAATTCATGACCCAGATCATCTCTAAGAGTCATGGAGAGTTCACTGAAATAGCAACACCTCTCCCTTGTGCCTTCAGAGGCTGGCGCCTCACTCTGTCTCAATCACAGATTGCCTCCTGTGGTCTCCTGTGCTCAGGGATGATGTATTTATCAGGATAGCTCCAGATGGCAGGAGTAGGCAACTGATTCATTTGCTTCTCCACTCCCAGCAGGCCCCACGAGGGCTTCAGAACTGCAGCCAGCACATCGGTAGTGCCCATTTCTCCTGGGATCAAGGTGTTTCCTCTGATGACTCAATTGATGCTCCAGTCAGAAGAGGACTCTGCAAAGGAGTTATGGCAGCCCAAGAAGTGGGGACATGCTGGAAGGCCCATCTGCTCCTGTGACTGATTGCACAGTGACTATCCTCTTATTCAGAGGCTGTCACAGTCAGTGAGATAAGAATGCCCAACTCTTTCTCCACTCTGCCTGACTACTTCAGGCAGCCAGCACCAGAGGCTCCTCTAATAACAGCTGTGAAAGGAACCAGTACTCCAAAGACATGTACAATTGCTCTCAGTTTTCCATGTGTATTTCACTACACTGGAAATATACAGTGGATTACGTTTTATTATATAATACAGTAAATACATTAGATTATACTTGGATTATACCTGGTTGATATCCAAAAGAATGAAAGGAGAGTAAATTATTATTTTATGTGTACAATCTTGGAGTTGCATAGTAGCCACAGAAAAGTCAAACAGGTGTTTGAACACAAGTGCGTCCACCCCAACAGCTCCTCTGCAGCTCTGCAGAGCCCATCCTAGGACAACTAAGCCCATCCTTAGTTCTCCTATGGTGAACTAAGGGAGAGATGACAGTGAGCCTCGATCTCAGTCCCCATCTCCGAACCAGCTCCCCCTGACCCAGTCTATCAGTCCTCCAGCAAAGGTCCCAGGGTCCCCCGGAAGACAGAAACAGAGAAAGTTCAAGGAGAAAAGAATGAGTAATTTCATCTGAAAGGGCACTTATAGTAAAACTGTCCTTTTGTGGTCAGAAACATAACCATGTCTTTATTATTAGTGGTAAAGGAAAAAGCCAATACTAATGTCGTAATACAAAAAAAAATTACATAAAGTCAGAAATAACCTGTAATCATGAAACATACACTGAACAACAGCCTATGTTTTAAATCTGATTTTCCTGGTCCAACCTTGTCAAGGAATCCTCTGAAGGTCCCCGTACCCTACTCCACTCCCACTCTGGCATCCCAGACAATCCTCAGATAATCCTGTACCCCTGGGCTGTCTAGCAATCATTGCCTGAGTGTGGATCAAGCTCACCAAAAGAAAAATGTGCCATATTGGCCCTAACCCTAACTCTCACCCATATTGACACTTTGTGAGGCCGAGGACGGCAGGCCACCTGAGTTCAGGAGCTCAAGACCAGCCTGGCCAACATGGTAAAACCTCGTCTCCACAAAAATACAAAAATTAGCTGGTGCAGTGGTACATGCATATAATCTCAGCTACTTGGGAGGCTGAGACACAAGAACTGCTTGAACCCAGAAAGCGGAGGTTGCAGTGAGCCAAGATCGCACCACTGCACTCCAGCCTGGGCAACAGAGCAAGACTCCGTCTCCAAAAAACAAAACAAAAGAAAAATGTGCCATATGACTATGAGGAATTGCAGTTCCTGAGACTGAGTCTCCCTTTCCAACACCACATGGCGAGAAGGCGAGTCTATAAAGTCACATAGGCAAGAAACATGTAATTCACAGGTCCAGTTTTTGTTTTGTGTTTTGGTGGGTTTCTGTGGGGCAGTTGAGAGCTGAATTCCATTTTTCCCTCTATAAATCTGGGCTCTCCTAAGCCTTATCACCTAGGTCAGGGACTTGAGCTTGGTCTGACTCCTAGAATGCATGATGGGCACCAGGGCTCAGAGCCTGTTACCTGCTGTACGTCCTGCTGGAAGACACAGAGCTGCAGCCGCTGGTGGAGTCGCACCTTGCGGTGCTGCCAGATGCTCTCCAGCCGTCGCTGGTGGTGTAACACCTCGTGCACCACGTCCAGCACCTGGTGCACTGCTTTGGAGTAGTTGGCTGTGGCTGTGAGGGACTCGGAGTTCCCAGGGCTCAGGGGCCGCTGCAGCACATCTAGCAGAGCTTTGCCATCCTGGCTGACCTGCAAGAAAGAGAGAAGATTGGATTAAGGGAAAAGAGTGATAGGCAGGGCACGGAGAAAAACAGGAAGAGTCTGCCTGAGGGTCCCTGACTAGGCCTTCTGAGAATCTCAAGCCTCCCACACGCAGACAACTATCCAGCCAGAGCTTCCACAGGGCCCAGCCTCCAGCCTGGTGGAGGGCAGAGCAGCCGGAATCCTGGGATAGGGGAGTTGCTGGAGTGCTGGAGAGTTATCTGTGAGACTCTCTCCCTTCCTGAATTTCAGCTTTGTGAGGGCAGGGACCCTGCCTGCTTGCTGCTTTCCTCCCAGTGCCCAAAACAGTGCCTGGCACATAGTAGGCACTTGGTAAATAATTTAACTGACTCACACTAGGTGAGACAGCATAACTTCATTTCAGAAATGAAGTCAATATAAGTTGCCACCATAACCTTCTCCTGCTCTTTCTTTCCCAATTTCTTCTATCTGGCTCCAAACTTCTAGATGTGTGACAAGAGGCAAGTTATTTAACCCGCTTGGTCCTCAGCTTCCATGTCTGTAAAGGAGGGATAATTACATACATACTTCATAAAGCCGTGGTGAGGATTAAATGAGTTAACACACATAGAGTGTTTAGAATAGGGCCTGGCATGTGATACTGGCTACCAATTTTATCTTCATCATCATCACTATTTATATGGTTTGTCTATGCCCCCACCAAAGTCTGATCTTGAATTGTAGTTCCCATAATCCCCACATGTTGTGGAAGAAAGCTGGTGGGAGGTAACTAGATCCGGGGGGCAGGTTTTTCCCATGCTGTTATCATGTTAGTGAATAAGTCTCATGAGATCTGATGGTTTTATAAAAGGGAAATTCCCCTGCACACACTCTTTTGATTGCCATCATGTAAGACATGGCTTTGCTCCTCCTTCACCTTCTGCCATGATTCTGAGGCCTCCTTGGCCATAGGAAACTGTTAGTCCATCAAACCTCTTGGAAGAAGCAAGAAGCTTCCATGGATATGAAGGACAAAGGCTCTTCCATTGAAGATCAACGGCAGAGGTGTTACTGCAAAGTTAAGAAAGGGAGGGGGGGAACCTCTTAACAGTCCCCTCAAAGTAAAAGGAAACAGCTACATATGTATATCTGTGTAGATATATACAAGTTAGTAGGTTTGTTAGAGATGGAGACCTGCAAACACTTATCTCCACCCTGTGTGATTTCCTCTGGATCTTCCAGTATTAAAATTAATATTTTTTTAATGAGCTGTTTCATAAAAAGGTGGCAGGGCTAGTGTGAACATGTCCATTCACCAACCAGAAAGCAAATTCCAGAGAAGCACAGTTTCATTTCCTTATATTCCTCTCCCAAGAGGAGAAAGTCCAATCTTCACACACAGGATGAGGCAGGTGTGTGTGTGTGTGTGTGTGTGTGTGTGTGTGTGTGTGTGTAGAGAGAGAGAGAGAGAGAGAGAGAAAAGAAAGAAAGAAAGAAAGAAAGAAAGAAAGAAAGAAAAAGAAGGAAAGAAAGAAAGAAAGGAGGGAGGGAAGGAGGGAGGGAGGGAGGGAGGGAGGGAGGGAAGGAAGGAAAGAGAAGAAGAAAGGAAGAAAGAAAGAAAGAGAGAGAGAGAAAGAAAGAAAAAGAAAGAGAATGAATGTGAGTATACCAAGGTGGTGCCTAATAATGGCCCCAATTTTTTCTGTTTCCTGGCTGGAGACACCATAGTTCACAGATCAAGATTCTTATAGATGTCACCAAAAAAAGAAAAACAGCCTCTCTTCTTATTAGTCCCACCCAGGCTATTTCACAGTGTGCAGACCAGTGCCTTCATCACCCACCCACACGCAGACATGCCCAAGACCCATGGCTGCCCTGCTCCATTCTCACCTCTGTGTAGGCTTGGGTCACCTGCTCATATAAAGTCTGGTGGTGGTGGATTGCGAGCTCCAGGTCCTGCATCTCAGATGGCAGTCCACCTTCACTGCACATTTTGCACCAGGCGTCCACTCCAGACAGGAACTGGAAGGAGATGTCGGGTGGGTCAGTGGGGCAGCACTGAGGGTGGGGAGTTGGGTGGATCATGGAGAGAGGGTCAGATACCTTGGGAAGAAACATTGGGACTTCTGAAAGCCTTCAGAGAACACTGTAGAGGGTAGAGTTTTCTAATTCTACAAACACTAACTTGTAGTAAGAAATCGGAACTAGGCACCCGTTTAGGAAGTATAGTCTCCATAAAAATGACTATTATGAGGCCAGGCATGGTGGCTCATGCCTGTAATCCCAGCACTTTGGAAGGCCAAGGCAGGCGGATCACAACGTCAAGAGATCAAGACCATCCTAACCAACATGGTGAAACCCCGTCTCTGCTAAAAATACAAAAATTATCTGGGCGTGGTGGCACGCGCCTGTGGTCCCAGCTACTCGGGAGGCTGAGGCAGAAGAATCGCTTGAACCCAGGAGGCGGAGGTTGCAGTGAGCTGAGATTGCGCCACTGCACTCCAGCCTGGTGACAGAGCAAGACTCTGTCTCAAAAAAGAAAAAAAAAATGACTGTTATGAAACTGCAGGGGGCAGGTGAGTCATCAGATGTTTAATAGGTTGTAGCTACACACAAACTGTAATGTCCAGGTAGGGAAACAGCTCACCCCATTCCACGAATACATTAGCGCTTCCTGTCCCATGCATACTCACAGGTATACGTGAGGGGCTGTGTGTAACTTAAGACGTTCCACACCTGTGCTTTACAGTGTGTATATCCAGTTATGAAGACAAGCAAAAAACACCTCACACAGGACCACCAGGAACTCCAGGGAACCTGCAGAGACCATTCACACAGGAGATGGAGGCTGTCCTCAACAGGACTCCCACTGTTGGGTCAGTCCCCTGAGGGATGGAAGCGAGTGAGGCAGCCTAGGGGGAAAGACTGTGCTATACCTACTGCATCCAGGGATATGTAGACATAGATCTTGACAGGCATCAAATTATTCAAAAATTAAAATTAACAACTATGGATGACTATGGGTCTTCATGAACAAAAGGTGAGCTAACTGAAATCACTCAGATTTATAGGGTGGAAAAACGCACCTTTAAAATGCAAATGATTCACCCAACAGTCTGGAATGGTTCTGTCTATGATTCCCCTTGCCTGGGTGCACAGCTCCATTTAAATTAATTGCCTAAATATCTTTTTATCCCATTGCCAAGAACAGCCCACATGAGGACAATAAAGAGCTGCCTAAATAAACACATGAAGAAAAAATAGCCTTGAGTCAGTTTTTTTTTTTTTTTTCCAGTTAAAAAGAAGCATGGTTTATGAGTGTCCCTGAAGGACTAGTAATACCTGCAGAAATTGCATTACAAAATAGATACAAATAAAATTGCTTCTGATCCAAACCAGTCCAAGTCAGGAAACATGACATAAACGTGCGCTTCTCCTGTTTCCTCAGCTCTGGCACTGCAACTGCTTGCATTCTAGTTTTGTTGTCACTGTCAGCTTTCAGTCCCTGACCTGTTGATTGTTATGGTTGACTTTTCATTCTGTATGTATGTTTTATAACACATTAGGCCATTTCTTAGCAATTCTGGAAGAGTGCCAGGTGCCATCCAGTATCAGATCAAACAACATGTACATGCTGAAATCTTAGAAGCTTCTTTGCTCCACCAATAAATACTTTACAAATGACCCTGGGAGCAACTTGACATTCTTGTATCAATCATGGGGGAGCACTCCTTCAAGGCCCTGGGATTTCCCTGCAATATTCTAACAGGGGTCCTGTAGCATATCCCACAAAATGTTCACCTCAAGGAGATAATGCCAGAGAGACAAAGAGAGAAGTATTGGGTCTTCCTTAACCAACATGTAAAAACCTAGAATAAAGTATGTAAGTGACAAGGTTGAAGAGAGAACAGGAGATTGAACATCAATATTCTCATGGCCCTAAGAAAGAACCAGTCCCTAACAGTCCCTACCACCATCAACCTTAACAACAGCGACAAAAAGATATGGCCAAATCCCTCTCAAATTATACAGTTATGCTTGACATAAGCATTATGTCAGTCTTTGGAAAGTTCTCAGGTGGAAACAGACACAAGTGGAGGAAATAAAAAGATACCAGGATAGCATGTGGAGCAAATACCCATAGTAGGAACATCCACTGTTTAGTAAGCACACAAGGCACCTTACATGTTCCATCTCTCATGCTGTATCTTTAGCATAGCCCTGTGCCATTTATGATTAGCTCCACATTACAGATGAGGAAACAAGCTCAAAATGGTGTCATTACTTGCCCAAGAGTGAATGAATGGTAGAACTGGGATCAGAATCCATGTGTCTTGCCTTAAAGTCTAGACTCTTAATTATGCTGTGTTGCCTTCCATGCTAGACAGGATAGCAGAGGGAGAGATTTAAGGTGTGACCAGGTGTCTGACTCTCCCTGGCCTATGTTAGCCAAATGTGATGCAAAGAAGGAAATGTAGAGGTTAAGAACACAGGCTTAGTGTTAAACACACCTGAGTTGAAAGCCTATCTACTCACGGATTGTGTGATGTTAGCAGTGGTGCGTTAGTAAATGTTTAACAACCAGCACATATACGTATGTGTGTTATGACTATATATTACACATACATAGGTAAGTGCATTTACAAATTCTACCGATATAAAGAATGTATATCCCACAACTTACAGAGAATAATAACATATACAATGCTCTGTATTGTATATTTAATGTAGCCAATTGATTCTCACTGGATGCTTTTGACATATAGTTGCAACTGACAAACATGTATAGTTCTGACATATATGCTGGTTGATATATTCACTATGTTAAGGAGTGAAACAAAATGAAAAACACTTGAATACTTATGCCAGAATATCACTTGTTCATCCAGGATGTCAGCAACTTCTTTGCTGAACCAAATAACAGTTTTTTTAATATTGGAAGAATATTTCCTTGATTTTTGTGTGTTATTCACAGTGTAACAGCTATACACAGAGTACGTTTTTAAGTTCAGTCTGCATTTTAAAACACTTTCTCCCTCATGTTCTCAAGACTCTAGGCAACAGTAAAGCAATAAACCAATCCCTGGTTTGTAGCATCTGATACTTTCTATAATACGAAACTCCTACCATGGTGTGTTTTAAGCTACCAGTGTGACATCACCAACATGGAGTTGGGAAGAGATGATCCATACACAGCATACAATTGTATGGTATTTCCACCACAGCAAAAAATAAATACATAAAAATGACCTCAAGAACATAGGTAATAACAATATGTGGTAAAATAATCAGGAAATGATGAGTTTTGAGTATTTATTAACTTTGCCTTTAACATAACATATTTAATTATAAACCTACATAATTAAGCAATGGCTAAATGTGATAATCAGCTCACAAAATTTCTGAAAATTTAACTCTCTCTCTATGAGCTGGTTCAAGATAGGCTCCAACACATGGTGGGATCTTAGGCAGGTCAGTCACTTAATCTCTCTGAGCTCCAGTGTTCCTCTTTGTAAAATGGGTTAGCAGTGTCACTGGCCAATGCCTGGCCACTTAGTAAGTACAAGTAATTATTATCTTGATCCATTATATTATTATTATATTACTATTATCCCTAGGAAATGCTTCATGTAAAATTAGTGTCCCCCTGCTCTCTGCACCTCAATGATCATTTTACATTCGCCCCTTTGATCTGTGTTCAGAGAATGCACACTAAGCGGACAGTCAACATATGCACATATGCACACGCAACCACTACCAAGCAAAATGTAAACAGACTCTGTGTCCCCTCTTATTTGTATGACAAGCAAAGTCACCAAGGCTTACCAGTGTTTCTTTGTGCACACAGGAGTCATGAAAGTGATAGAACATAGGTTACTGTTGCAACAACTCAGCAGGGTCTTCAGTGTCTCAAAAAGACAGGCAGAGCTCTCTATAAAGCGTGTGTGCCCCCACCTAGCCTTCCCCTGCCCATGCCCAACCCTTCCCACCAATAGCAGCCGCTGTGGGTTTTTTGGGCCTTACCTGCTCAGCCTTCTGGTGGAACACAGCAGACATGGCGAGGATGGTGCTGCGTTCATCCAGGGCAGCAGCAAAGCTCTTCCACTCCTGGTCTAGCTGGGTGGAGATCTGCTTGATTTGTTGTGAGGCATAATGGCCAGCCTCAGAGAGGCGGGAAGCCACAGACATGATGCGGTTGATGTTGACATAGGCATTCTGGAAAGCAAAGGAGAATGCTCAGTGGGGCAAGCTCAAAAGACATACAATGAGCACTTTTGTGGGGTGCATATTTGGGGAAGGGAGCTACCCAAAACAAAAAGTCTGAGTGAGAGAGGCTGGTACAGGCTATATTAGTGTATTTGTTTTTGGACCAAGGGAAATCTTTTTCTACAATTCAATTTAGTAGATAGCAGGGACCTTTCATTGTGGGGAAGCAGCATAGATTTTGTGTCAACTGTTAATGCACTTTAAGCAGTCACTTTACATGGACTACCTTTATGTAATCTTCACAACCATCATACGAGGTCATTCCTGGGGATGGCATATAACTCCCAAGAGCACTCTTTGGAAGTGATGGCTCAGATAAGGGCACAAGCTAACAAAAGCAGAGACATCTCTCTTGCTCAGGAGAGGGCTGTACCCAGGGCATTATTGCCACCTACATACAAGGCAGATGTACTCATCAAAGAGGGCAAAGGAGACATGGTAATTCCACATCTTCCTATCACCTAGCAAAGATGTCCCCACCTTCCTCCTACCTCCTTCAGCCCTGCCGAAAGAGCTGAAGCACTGGTCATCAAACAAAGTTTAAATAAAGACAGCATTTGAAGCCACTCACTTTTCCAGGCTAATAATAAGGTCGGTGAAGCCCTTTCTCATTCCTGCTTGATTTAGGAGGATTTCCCCACCTGATCCCAAAAGGCCTCTGTGGGTACCCTAAAAGGCATCAAGGAGGGGCTCTCTTGGCCCATTGTCTCCTGTCATCTTGTGTTTTGTTTACTTGTTTTGTTTACATTCATTTCCATCTTTGCTTGCTAATTAAAAATTCATGAACTTGTATGCTGTTTCCTATTAGGTCATCAAAAAACACTCCAGGAAGGAAAAAGGCAAAAGAAAGAACAAGACAAAAGAAAAACCCCACAAACATAGGACAGCAGTAATTATGGCTATTTTTAACTGCTATCTCCTGTTAGTTGTCTGAGGTGTCAAAACAATCAGGTAATGTGGCATCCACAGGGAGCTTTTCCAAATCACACAATGTCTGCATGAAGGAGGAGCAGGGAGGCACCTTCATTCTTTGTTACAAATATTCTCAAATGGTTATACATATTCTTCAGTAACAACATTTTCTCTAGGTTCTACTAGCTCAGCTATAGTTCATTAATACTCAGTAGTTTTAATGAAGATTCTTTATTTTCCTCTCTCACTTCCCTCATGGTCCCCACTTGTCTTAGCTGTCCTTGACCTCTGAGCACACCATCCCAAACCTGGACCAGGTTGATAGGGTCTCTCTTAATTTAAAATGTCTCTGCGGAAGTTTAAAAGGTTAAATGAAGAACTTCCACACAAATCCATCCTGATGCCTAATGACCCCCATGTGTCATCTCTTTTTTTAGTCTGGCCTGAGACCTTTCTGACACAGTGCATTTTCCTAACAGAACTGGGATATTACTGATTCTTGTTATGGGAAATAACTATCCTCTAAAGATGCTGGATTCATTCTCAGCCTTGTTTTCTGAGTTAGGACACAAATTCTACTGAAAATTAACCTCTATTTATAGAACTGACCGAAAAACCACTCTGCACTTAGAAATAGAGGGAAAGAAGGGGGAGGGGAAAGCACACACTGATTTTGACAGTTTGATCTT